GATGTGGTGAGTGGTAAGGAGTGAAGCATCTACATAGTAAGAAAAGACTTCTCTGAGTAGTCAACACCCATGATGAGACCAGGGCAACAAAAGTATACCCTAGAACATTGGTTCTCAATCGTCCTAATGCTGCAATTATTTAATATATTTCATCATGTTGTGGTGACCCCCAACCATAAAGTTATCTCATTGCTACTTCATAACAGCAATGTTGCTACTGTTATAAGTAATAATGGAAATTATTTGTGTTTTCCAATGGTCTTAGGCAACTCCTGTGAAAGGCTCCTTTGACCCCCACAGAGGGGTTGTGACCCACAGGTTGAGGAACAATGCCCTATATGGTCAAGAGAGAAAGAGACTCAGAGACACCTAAATTCAGTTCCACTGAGGTATGTAATGTCTATGTGGCACAGACAGAATAGCTAATACATATGTTCATAATTTCATGTACATGTACCTATAAGCTAAATAGCTATAATTTGCTGAGTAGGACTATGTCAACAAAGACCTTCAATTTTGAGGTTAATGCTATGTGAAACGGCACCAGTCATGGAGGCCAGGAATGCCAGACTAAAAAGAATTCTGAGCCTTGTATGAAATGTCAATCACTTTCCAAGTAATAAAGGTATATTTTTATTTTGTATACTATTTTATTTAAATACTTGGAAAATACCAGTAACAGAAAGTTGAGATTATCATAGCTCGTACTTTCCAGCCATAAGTACCATTAAGACTTTGATTCTCCCACTTAAAGTGTTTTTTCCCTATGAACACATGTACATAGGATTTTTAAAAGGACCGAGTACAGGAAATATTGTGCTTTTTATGAGTCCCTCTAAAAAAAAAAGCAAAGCAAACATTATGGGAGACCAATAACAAATCTCCTTTTTCTGGAAATACACATAAATAAAATTTAGAATTGCTTTTAATTACCAAACTCATGCCTAAAATGTAGAAAGTAAAATCACTGGATTTTACCTTATTTCCACAAAACCAGTATTGGGACAGGAAGGTTTTGATTTAAAAACAAGGGAAGTCATTTTTCTTCCTTCCTAATATATGGTCAGACAGTTATTTGAATATTATGAAGTCTTCCTATAAATAATTAAATGCATCTGCCAACGCCCCTGGTAAAATACAAGAACTAAATATATTTATAGGATATGAAACCTAAGCTGATTACCATGTGCTTATTCCCTTACCTAATCAGAACTAGTTTGTAATTCAAAACAAATGTCATACTCCTTAGAGCAAAGGAAAATTAACGAGAGTGAATAGTCTATAATTCTTACTTTTAAGGAAGCCAGACCAACTGTTCTCAAACAAGCCATAGTTCTTTATACTGGCCACTTTGAAGATCCAAACTAAAGTACCTTGATAAATTTTGGTGCTGTGTTCCACACAAGTATTCAAAGTCTAAAATGATAGTGTATACCAAATACCTTTTCTCTCTTCTGTTGGTACAAGTTAGAGGATTAATGACTGCCACTTTCATTCATCCACACCACATAATTTCCACAGTAGATGTACCACACCACCACTCGACTCTGGTTCAATCACTTCAACGAGCAAATGTGAAGCCAGCAGAAGGTTGGAAAAGTGCTTACATATTTCAGTTCATTCTGTTGTCTCTTGCTGATTGCAAGAACACATGCTTGAGCTAGTTTGCTGGAGCACAGCTGAATAGCTCCAGTCATCCCAGCCAAGACTATCTGAAATCAGCCAAAAGCCAGATGATGCCCAGGTGGGCAAGTAAGCCTAGCCTAGACTCAAAGAACTGCCAATGTCAATATCCAATTCCAGCTTTCATGGCGTACCTGCAGACACGTGACCAAAATAAATAGTTAAGTTGTTTTAATCCACAGAGTTTGGAAGAGTATTATGGAGGCAAATACATAAAAAATCATACTTTGTGTAGCAGCACTGTTTTCTTACTTTGCAAAGTTAAAATGTATTAGAAAAAATTCTGAGTGGAACTACTAGCCAGTGCTTCATAGAACTTATGCTTCTTAGAACCTAGGAATTAAATCAGGAACGTCAAAAGTTTGAGGCCAGCCTGGGCTACACAATGAGGCCCTGTCTCAAAAACATTACAAAATCAGTATATTAGTGATTTTCCTTTATTTATAAGTACATTTTCCAAAAAGCAATATCTTTTCTATGAATTATAATCAAGCAGTTCTTTAAAATATTTTCTATTCATAGTATTTTGATATCACAAACTTCCATACTGAAGAAATATACAGATTGATGAAATTATTCTACCACATAGCACTTTTATGAAAGACTCAAAAATTAATAATAAATATTGTGTGTGTTCTGTAGGGTGTGTGTGTGCGTGCGTGTGTGTGTGTGTGCATGTGTGTGTGTGTGTGTGTGTGTGTGTGTGATATACCAGACATTTGAGACTAAAAGGTACCTTATGTGGCAAGACTTACACCAAAAATAAAGGTTTTAAGGTAAAGACAATTGTTAAAGAGCAAAGGATAGGAAACACTATTTGAAGGAAAGAATTATTCTATCCATGGAGACATATTTTGTACTAAGTATTATGTATAGCAAGTACTAGAATAGATTAAAACAAATAAATAAAAATTTGAGAATTTTTAAAAAGAAATTAGTAACTCCAGTGGGAAACATTAATGTACTCTTTTTAATAACAACCCTAATAAGGATGCAAAATCTAAACACTGACTACATGTGTGATCTAATTACAAATACTTACTAACCATGGCAGAAGATATATTTTAAAAGTATACAAAAAGATTTACCAAAAAACCAAGGTTTTATAACAGTATTCAATTATTTGTAAAATTAAACATATGAGTCACAACATACTCTCCAAATACACCAGAATTTAAGCTAGAAAATTCACAATTAAATTTGAGAATTATGGAAATCCTAGGTTAAAATATGCAAAAATAAATCATAAACTATATTTGGAAGTCTTTGTTATTCAATTGGCCTCAATATACAATGAAACAAAATGGAAGATTCTGAAAAAGGAGTACAGCCTCCTTCCTACAGGTTAGAAAATGCACTGACCACTACAGGACACACCAGTACCAATAAAACAAGTTCATATCTTGCTTCATCTTGATTCATTCAACTACATCAATACACAGAAGTGTCAAACTATAAATTAAACAAGTATTATATAATAAATTATTAAATCATATTTATAATTTGAGATTGTAGAATTTAACATTAGAATGTATTATTAGATACAAGCTGGTAAATCTATTTTTATTATCTGCAAAGGGAATTTCTGTTCATCTAAGGTAACTTCAGAAATTCCTGAACCTGTTCAATGATTAAATTATCTAGAAAAAGCTGAGATCATATTCTGGGACTAAGTCCAAGTTCAAGGTTGAGTTGTTTTGTCAATATAGCCATAGAAATACATAGCACTGATGCAGGCAGTAAGAGTTCCAAGCAAAACTGAAAATCAATTGGAAAAACATATTATCAATAATATTTCAAAGGTTATATGGGTAATGTACGTTTTACTGAAACAATTTACTATCATTGTTGTCATTAGTACTGTGACTAAATTATTTTGAAGGGAATGCATGACCCTTGGTGCTTGGACCCCCAAAGAAAAATTATAGGAAGACTTTTTCTAAGGGCAAACTAAATTATATTTAACATAGACAATGCATATTTGTCATGTACATTGATGTGAAAATATTTTGTCTTAATCAAAATCAGAGTGTGAAAAGAAAGGCTTTATAATAATGAGCCAGCAGATATTTTTGTCTCACAGATATACATTGGGGTTTACTTAAATAAAAAGGAATCAACGTGGTTAATTTGCAAACTTTATGAGAAATCCATACAACTTAATAATAAAATTCATATTTAACTAGACTAAGTTGTGCCTCATTGGCAGAACACTTTCAGTTGGCCCTGCGTTTAATCTACAGCATGAAAAATGACATATACCCTGAATGGACATTTTTCCAAAAGACATATGGCAATAGCTATCATGTACTTGTAATCTTATTCATCATCACTATTTATTGTAGAAGTGCAAGTCAAAGCTAAAATGAGATACCTCTTCACAACTGTTAGAGTGGCCATTATCAAACAAGCAAGAGATAGAAGTGTCATTAAGGATACAGAGAAAAGGAAAGCCTGGTGTGTCTTTGGTGAGATGATCAATTAGCACAGACAGTTCGATAACAAAGTGTGGGCTCTTCAAACCATGAAAACGATACGTGACCGATCATCCCACTAACCCATGCCCAATGAAAATGAAATCAGTAATTTCAAGTTACATCTTTGTTCACATATCCATTTACATCATTATTCACAAGAGTTGAGGTATGGGAACAACCTAAATGGCTGGACAGATAGATAGATGATATATAGACAGATAGACGGACAGGCAGGTAGATATATAGATAGATACATAGATTATTGATAGACAGACAGAGAGATAGATAGACAAACAGACAGATAGACAGACAGACAGATAGATAGATAAGGCCATACACTCTGGAATGTTATTAAGCCTCTGAAAACAGGAATTGCCCTTTGTAACAGTGAGAATGAGCTTGAAAGTCATTCATTGTGCTATGAGGTAGTCCAGACACAGAAAGCAAAGACTTGTGTCATCTCACTTGTATGCGGAATACAAAAGGGAAAAATGAACAGAATAAAGCAGTGGTACCCATGGATCTTCAGTGGTTGTCAGAAAACAAAGGACCATTTATAAAGGTATACAAACTTGGAGTGGTATAGGATGTCCAAAACCAGAAATCTAATTTACAGCCTAAACCTTACCATTATTCATTTTATATTCCTTATAGAAAATATACTAAGAATATAAATCTTAGATGCCTTTGACACCTACACACAAAAAAGGGTTACTATGGGAGGTTATGGGTAAGTTAATTTGCCTAAACACGGTAATGATGTCACTGTAAATGTATACAGAAAACAGTATGTTGTACAACTTAAATGCATCCAATAAACAAGACAGTGAAGAAAGGTACCTGTCTGAATCAGTGAGTTGTGTGTCGGTAAGAGCAGGCTGGCAGTTCAGCTGTGAGGAAATGCTTTCAAATCTATGGCCATGCTTTCCTTTTTCTGTATTAGCTGCTATTCAGTGGAGACAGCCATTGCCTCAGGAAGAATCGGGGCTGGTAGAGAAGGGAAGGAAGCAAAGAAGCAAAGTGTCACTATTCACTATTTGACTTCCAAAATAGTCACTTAAAGCCTGTTTCAAAGACAATGTTCTTGAAAGGCAGAGCGCTTAAGTGAGAACTGAAATGTTAAAGAGGTTAGAACGGTTGAAAAGGATTTTTAGTCCTAAAGAAGCAGAGCATAAATTTCATTCAAGAGGAGCAGATCAGAAGAAACATAGATGAAAAGCTGAAAAAAATTCACAAAAGAGAAAAAAAACCTAAGGTTGCTCTGTCTAGGAGGGGACAAAAAGAGAAAGAGAGGGCATTGGGCAGAGGCCACAGGGACCAGAAGGAAAGTGGGCGGTGGATGGGAGAGGTACATATGAAAAATCCTTTCCTGAGCTGCTCAGCTGAAAGAAAACAAGATCACCACTTAGGCTTTGCTCTGTCTTCTCAGTGAGCACCCAGCTGGTCTGATCACATGACTTCTGGTGCTCTTCCTGTTGCTAAGTCAGAGAATATCTGGTCCACTCTTGCCTACATCACATATCAAAAACTTTGAAGAAGTATGTTAATAAGATGCCAGATTTCACTCAGCCAGTAGAAAATATCCTCTATTCATAATACCCTCTTCCATGATCCAAGCTGTCTGGAGATCCCACAAGAGAGGTAGGCACTCAGTTCTTTGAGGGAGCCTTTAAGAAAGAAAAAACTCATTATCTACAACTATTTGGGACTGACCAGAGTCAGTGTGCCCTTCTTCACACTGAACCAGAGCAGGGTAAAGGACTTCTGTATCACACTGTGTTGTGGACATGGGCAATCCATGTCCAGAAACCAGTAATTCCTAGAGGTCTATAACTGAAGCGTGGCTTACATAAGACTGTGATATAAATGCAGTGATTTTCCCTTCTTTTGTTCTCAGCACAGGTAAAGAATCAAAGCAATTACTTACCAGCACAGGGAAATTCTCAATCATAAAGGTTGAAAATGATATTAGCTCTGGAACTTATTAAAAATTATTTCACAAACCAACCTGCTGTACAAATTAAGAAGCTAAAGTTTGGACAGGTCAAACTGTGTGAGATCAAACTCAGAAGCCATTTCTCTCTGTTGTTTGTTTTTTAAAAAATCCTCTGTAATTAGAAATTTTTACATTGTTTTTTTGTTATCTTGCTTTACTGTCAACTATATAAATAGCTCAATTATAGTATTTGCATAGTTTGTTAGTTCTAACTTGCCTCATTAAAGATAATACCTAATACAAACAAACCCTTTTGAATACATTTGGTGAAACTTAGTATTTGCAGAATAATCTCTATCTCTATGCTCCTTGGGGTGGGAGAATGGACATCCTCTGGTTTCCGCTAAGTAGTCTGCTCTTAATTACAGTTCTCATCTGCTTTTTAGTCTCATATAGGTCAATCCATTACCTGTTTAGTTGCTAGCCTCACAAATGTTTCTTTAAACACTATTCAGAATGATTTTGCCTCTTTAATTTGTACCAGTTTCATATTACTATTTAATTGATATATTTAAAGCACAATCTATGTGCAGTATCATATATAAATACCTACATGCTGTTTTGCAAATATAAGGTGATTTTCTGTGTATATTTTCTTCATAAATACTTAGGTATAAACTTTTGTTATCTGAAAAAACATGTGTAACATCTAGAAGTCATGAACACAAGGGCCTACTGGACATTAAGCTGAGGAACAGGGACTCAAGTCCAAGTTTGTGATGTTAATCCTTCTATGTCAATCATTCTATGTAAATGTTCCTTCAGATCTGTAGGAGGAAGCTGTGTGCCGCCATTAGCCATGTGACTTATTAGAGGCGCATACAGATGAGGTAATAAAAGAGCGGTTTACCACACCGCTAAACACACCCACTTTAGGCATGACTAGAGACGTATATGGACATAGCCAACTACTCCGGCTCTGGCACCCTGTGAGGACTGCCCGGGCCCTTCCCCTACCCGGTTGCCTGATCGGGGCAGCTTCCTGTCGCATGGGCTCCGCAGCCTAGGTTTCCTCACCTCCCCTTTTGTCCCTCGTCCTGAGGGAGCCCCTTTTCTAGCCTCTGCCTCACCCCAATACCTCACAAACACATTTCGCTCCCTCACACAGATTCAGTCACACACTAGGGCCCGCGCAGTCCTCACAGGGCGGCAGAGCCTGAGTAGTTTTCCGCCACCGAACCATAAGTAGAAAGCTGGAAAAAGAGACGGAGACTTCCATTGTTCAGTCTTTTATACCCCCCCCCCTTAATGCCCCTAGCCATGCCCAAAAGTGGGCCTGGCTAGTGAACTAGTTCACCGCCTAAGTCCACGTCTTTAGTCATGCCTAAAGTGGGTATGTTTAGCGGTGTGGTAAACCGCTCTTTTATTACCTCATCTGTATGCACCTCTAATAAGTCACATGGCTAATGGCAGAACACGGCTTCCTCCTATAAGATCAATAGCTGGACTTGGAGAGTTAGAATTCACAAAAGCTAAATCAAGTCACCGGTAAACTTCTGATTTGCTAAAGTGAGCAAGATAATCATAATCCTGACTACTGAATTAAGTACAACTGCAGTTGGTGTTATCTGCTAGTCAGCATTAAGTAGCCTCTCAGTATTTATGAAGGCCGAATGATGGGCAAGCCCTAAAAACTCATTGAGTTTGGGTGGAAAATTCACTGAGGTCAGAGAACTACACACACACAGACAGCATACTCTACAGGGAGACAACAGCAGAGAGTGGTATCAAGGCTAACACTCTCCGGCCATTGGAAGCTTATAGAAGAGAACTGACACAGTCCACTCCACACCTATGCTGCTCCTTAGTGCCTCTTTATTGTCTCCTGGATAGGAATTATGTGGCTTTAAGAAAAGAGACCATCTATCAAATCTAAAGGAATGGTATTTTCAAGCTGACACCACTGGCCAGTAACTTTAAGCAAATGACTATCTTGTGGAAGTAAAATCAGGAAGTTGAAGACGAGGGATTACATCTTCCTTGGTGGTGCATAGCTTATGAATTTATCTATTTAAAATCGTCTCACACCAAGCTGAACTCGCAAAGAGTCAATAGACTCCATTCTCTTACATTCCATTCTGGAATCTATACTGTACTATATAATTAAAGGAGGCACACAGGGATCCCACATCCTTCTAGAACTGTAAAATCACACTAGCATTGTTTTAAATTGTCAACCAAGGGCTGATATAAGCAAATCAAAAGGACGAAACAAGATTTCCTTTTCTATCAAAGTTTCAAAGAACTTTAACAATAATTGTAAGAAACATTTTGAATTAGTAACTGGGCTCCCCCAACTGGGATTTTCAGGTATTGCAATTCATCCATGCCTTCTGTCATCGTTTAACCCAATGCTTACAAATAAAACATTTGATTTTTTAAAACTCTGCATTTAGAAAATGAGCCTCATTAGAAGATTTTAGGCTTCACGTTTTCCCATCCTTTACTGATTCTAGCATCGATTCATTTGTCCTCTCAAGAGTGTTTCTTTGACAATTTTCTGTCCTGGGTTTAATGTTAAACTCAGTTGGACCACATATGGGAGATATTGAAAGTTTGAATTTGTAACTATGAATAAGACTCTGATAAATTAAAGAGTGTTTCAAGGAGGGACTCTGGGAATTACACCTTGAGAACAACAGTTGAACTAATTACAGATGTTATTACAAACCCATTATCCCATTTAATCGGTTTACAAATATTTAGTTAAAAGAAGTAAAAATTATGAGACTGCAAGTGTCTTCACATCTCAGAAGGCCTCTCAGTCATTGGACAGCTGGGAATTAGCTCCATTACTCTGAAGACAGAATTCTCAATTTAGGTACTATTAAACAGCAAGGACTGACACTTCTTGTCACATACAACTATACAGTGCTTTGTAGAATATCTAACAGCATTCCTATCTTCCACCCACAGTGTGCTAGTAGGATCCAGCACTGTTTGTGGACATTCTCAAATATCCCCTGGGGCCAGAAGATTTAAACTGAAAGCCACTATCATGAAATCTATGACAATGGATTCTTAATGAATTTCTAAAGGATGATGAGGACACTTCCCCTCTTCCAGAGTGGCTTACTTCCTTTCTTTTTCCTGGTTGAAGATTTTCTTTTTTAGAATTTCATGAGTTTATTCAGTAAAATATTCTATATAATCCTTATTTAACATTTCTAACTCGCCCCGTATTTCTCAATAGCGCACCTTCCCTACTTCATGTCCTTTTATAGTGTGTGGATATGGAACCATCTTCTGGAATGTTAAAAACTACCAGTGGGCACATACTTAGACACAAGTGATTGTCACTCCAGCATGAGAGGAGCAGCAGCCCTACCTCAGTAAGAGGTGGAGCTCGAAGGTCATCAACTCTATCCATTCTGGAATAGTGGCTGCCTTGACCCTGTGCAGACTTAAATAGGTACCTACAGGCACTGTGAATTCATGAGTGTGCTAGTTATGTCATCATGTAAAGAGCCTTTCACAGCCTTTCTCCACATTTACAGCTGTTAAAATTCTTCTGCCTCCTTTCCAGAATTGTTCTCTGAGTCTTAGAGACAGTGACAACAATATAGATGCTCCCTGTAGGACTGAGCACACCACCTTCTCTTATTCTCAGGACTTTGATCAGTTCTGACTCGCTGTTGACTGATGCCAACTTCATAAAGAAGCCTTGGAGGTTTGTCAGTGCTCAGAGCTGAGCAGATGGTGGAAGTTTGGGCGTGTTCTCTTCTTTTTTATCTTTATATGAGATGAGAAATGCTCTTCACATGTCACATTCAGATCACTTTAAGGAAAATATTGTGCTCCAGGGTCAACATCTAAGTGCAAGTGCAGTTGTGAGGCACAGATTTAACAAGCTGCCCTTCCTGGAGAACCTGACAAAGGGCAGTAACATCAGCAGGAAGATCTATGAAAAATAGTCTTGTACCGTGAGATGCTGAGAGGTGTTATTTTTAAGGTTTCTATAATTGTAATTTCTTGGAATAATTATATATGATTCTGTAACCCAAACAGAGGGAACGTAGCCACCTAGAATATCATTAATTAATTAGCTACAAATTTGATCAGCTTTCCTCTTGAGGAATTTTAAAACATTTTTAAGGCCATAATTAAAATTTTACTATTTATTTTTGTACTGATCATCCAAGATGCCTAATCCTTTTTAGAATCTATGATTAAAACCCATCTGCCTTCTTTATGTGTTATCCAAAAACAGTAGAGATTCTTTTCTCTATATCAGAATGTATGCTGGAATTACAGGGAAAACGACTCGCCTCCATGATTACTTGATGAGGATTTGGGTGGCCGTCTGTGTGAGCATGTCTTAAATAGAGTATACCTTAATATCTTCTGTTACTCATTATAAAATTATTTCAGAACATTATTATTTCTATTCACACATCTTCAATTGAAAAATGTTTTATTTATTTGCCAATGGGTTTGACTTTTATACATGAAATAAAACTGTTTTTGCTTATATTTACTTTTATTCGTTTATTTATGGTGTTTTTGTGCAAACACCTTTGTACACTCTCAGTTTTGTGTTAGTGTTTGTGCATGGTGTAGGCTCATGTGGAAGTCTGTGGTCAGCTCGACATGTGTTACCCAGTAACTTTCACAACTCCCTTTTTGAGCATCACTCAACTAAGCCAAAACACAAAGATTTGGAATCTTCCTGTTTCTACCTCCCTAGTGCTGTGTGAGCTATCTCCAGAGCCACCATTTGTTTATTTTTTCATTATCCTAATCCTGATGCTGCTTTTAAGAAATGAAGAAATGAGAAGTCTCCCAGCATTTCTTCACTACCATCCAGCTCAGAAAGGTCGAGGAGAACAAAAGGATAAGGACATTGCTGAGAAATATGTTCTTTGCATCATAAACACAGTTGAACAGACTTTTGAGAGCATTCCAGAACTGTCTAGAAATGAACAATTTTTAAACTGATAATTAGAAGATTATCTGCAGGCTAGTACTTTCTTTTATTAATTTTAAGCCGCAGGGAGTTTTTTGAATGGCTGAGTAGACCTATTAGTGAGCTTTCTAATGTTTTGGTTATTAGATATTTTTAAATTTAAAGATACAGTGGGTAATTCTACTGACCAGACCTGTATTAATTATTCAAAACTTTTCTAAGTCACAAACATTCCTAGATTAGGTTGACTTTCTACCAGTCAAAAATGATTATTCCTAGAAAATATGGATGAAGTCTATATGGCAACTTGGAGGCGTATTTCCTTGTCCTAAACCATGTGATTTCTGTTGAGATACTGCCAAAAGTATTTAATCCATTAGTTCATTAAGCAAGGATTCAGATAGTACCAAGATACTCAACACAATAGTACCAAGAACTCAAAAAGAAACCTAAAATCTCACAAGATGGTTTTTGACTATTAATATAAATACACAAATACACACACATGCACACACATGCACACACACACACACACACACACACACACACACACTAGATTGGGGGGTCATTAAGTAGATCTGTACTTAAAGGTGCTAGCCTCAAAACCCTGATGTCCTGAATTCATAACTTGAAACTCATGTACAAAGCTGAATTATTTTTCCCAAGTCTATAATCCCAGCTCTCCTACACAGAATGTGAGTTGGAAAGGTGGAGACAGAAGAATCACCTTGAATCTTACCTGCTCAGTTAACCCAAGGTATGCTGACAAATGACAAAAGCAATAGGAGTGATGTTACTTCCAGAAGAAGAAGAAGAAGAAGAAGAAGAAGAAGAAGAAGAAGAAGAAGAAGAAGAAGAAGAAGAAGAAGAAGAAGAAGAAGAAGAAGAAGAAGGTGGAGGAGGAGGCAGAGGAGAAGGAGGCGGAGGAGAAGGAGGCGGAGGAGGAGGAGGAGAAGGAGAAGAAGAGGAAGAGGAAGAGGAATCTGAAAAGGAACACAACAAAGTTGTTCTCTGACCTTACTATAAACAAACTGTGGCATTTGCACACCCACATTCATACACACATCACCAGACATGCATGAACACACACCCAGAGAGGGTGGGGGATTGGCGTTTATGTCAGTTTTATTCCATT